AAAAAAATCATGGCAGATATTACTTCCAATTCATATGTTGCACTAGACACAGAAGCGTACACTTAGTAGGGTAGCATGCTATGTAGCAACTCTTATTTAGGAAGCCTCCTTCCGCAACCATGTATGAACCATAATCAAATCCAACTTATTCTATGAGACAACTTGGGAGAAGTGATTTAAGGCAAATGCCCAGACTAGAAAGTATCTCTCACCCAGTGGCTTTGTCCTCGTTGTTTGTCATTGGACTCTCCAACAATCTCCTCCCATACTATCGCAGTACGATCAAAGGAGCAGGATGCCAACACCTGTCCAAACTCTGGATGGGCCCAGGTCACTCTCCAAACTGAGCCACTGTGAGTCTACAAAACACAAGTTTGTCAAATTACAGCCCAAAACACTTCATAATGATGACCAATACGTAATCAATATATCGACTTATTGCGCTATGTACATGACCTCAATCATTTTTGGACACAATATATCTCCCATTATATTTACTTAAAAATTTATGTCACCATGTTTTGTACATTCCACTTGTGCCTGCGTTTTTTGCAGCTTCTCGTACATAACGTGTAGTCATGAGGTGCTAGTTCAAATTCAAAAAAAATAAAATAAATATTCATCTGCAGATATGGTCTTGTTTAGGGATCTGTGCCTTTGTGCCTACGGACATCTGACTGCTAAGTAGTGATTGTGTTTTTCAGCAATAGTGTGCAACGGCAATATAATCGCACAACAAAAAGTTGTTATCGTGACAGGCCTACCAATACGGTGAGTCTACACCAACTTATGATAGTACAAATCAAACTGGTAGACTGTCGAAATGAGAACTACAAGTTGGTATGGGAGGAAAAATGCATCTAGCAAAACTTATGCATTGATTTTTTTTTACACCCATCTCATTTTTTCCCTCTTAAGGGCTCCTTCTAGAACATGTCTGTTTAACTAGGATTTGGGATTATTTTACTGCAGTGGTTCTCAACCTCTTTGACCCAAAAGCCCCCGATTGTCCTCCAACTAGGCATGTCGTAACTTTTTGTTGTGCGATATATTGCCCCAGAAATAATTGCGATAAGCGATATTGTCATTTTATAGGCCATTTTATGCCACTGAATATATAATCAATGTAACAGCATAATGCAAGAAGGCCTACACACTTCCAAATGACAAACTTTTAATTAAGAATATTTAGATCATGGAAATTAAGTATCAAAACATTAGATACCTTAAAAAACCTGAATAAATAGTAAATAAAAATTCTTACAAAGTGCAAAGTAACAAGTAGAAAAAAATTAAAATGCACAAATAACTTGTATGGAGATTTTTCCATCTACAGATGTTTTCCTTTTCTCTGTAAATGAAGGGTGCACACTATTGCTGAAAAACACAATCACTACTTAGCAGTCAAGATGTCCGTATGCACAAAGGCACAGACGCCTGCAGATGAAACTTTTTTTTTTGTAGAAGCATTTTTTTTAAATTTTAAAATATTTTTATTTGAACTAGCACTTCATAACTACACCACGTTATGAAAGTGACGTGACATGAGGCCAAGTATGGTTACCCATACTAGGAATTAGTGCTCTGCGTTTAACCCATCCTAAGTGCACACACACACCGTGAACACACACCCGGAGCAGTGGGCAGCCATTTATGCTGCTGCGGCGGGGCCCGGGGAGCTGTTGGGGGTTCGGTGCCTTGCTCAAGCTGCTTGCTGCACCTCAGTCGTGGTATTGAAGGTGGAAGAGAGCGCTGTACATTCACTCCCCCCACCTACAATCCCTGCCGGTACGAGACTCGAACCCGCAACCTTTGGGTTACGAGTCCAACTCTCTAACCATTAGGCCACGACTTACCCAAGGAAAGTACATTATGTACGAGAAGCTGCAAAAGACACAGGCGCAAGTGGAATGCACAAAACATGGTGACATTCATTTGTAAGTAAACATAATGGGCGATATATTGCGTCACCAAAAATTGAGGTCATGTACATATATTGCGCCATAAGTCGATATATTGATCATTGCGACATGCCTACCTCCAACACAATATTTCAAAAGGACCCTCCCATATTATAAATGTTTTCTGTATAGCTGTAATTATGTCAAAGTTGCTTATTTTCAAACTTTATTAACAGACACTGACAGTGTTGATATTAAAAATCAACCACAATTTGTTTTGTGACTCCAAAAGTTTCAAGAACCAAAAGCACTTCAATAAAAGCTACAGTGGGGGGGGGTTATGATTCCAATCTTGATTGTTTAGTATTTTCATTAAAAGTAAAATTACATTTGTCAATAAATTAACAATAATTGACTCAAGTACTTAATCCTCTGGACCCCTTGGATGTTTGCTGATGCCCCCTAGTGAGCCCAGGACTTCTGGTTGAGAACCAGTTTTATGGCAAGACCTACTTTCCAGCTGGCTGTGCAGTTCCATTCTCCATTATCCCCCTTATCCCACACCTAAGGGAGGAAAGAAAATACAAAATCCAAATATTTGCACAATGAAATCATATTCATGTCCTTTTAAATTTACACTGCATGCTCCTTAACCACATCTGTTGCATTGCAAACAAACTCTAGCAGGCCATGGGTTAAGAAACCACTTACCTTAGTGCTTTGGTCGCTGGAGCACGTCGCCATTCTCCGCCCGTGAAAGTCATAAGAAACATCGTGGATCAGATCTTTATGATCGGCTGCGATGCTGCGCGCGACAAACATCTTTTTCTTATCTACTCTTCTTGGTAATGGCACGCGGGAAGTAAACACGAACTGGTGCCCTTCCCCTTTTTTTTTTTTTTTTAAACGTTGAAAGCGGTCCAATCACGTTGGACTTGGAAAGCATGTGGACCTGATCTTTATAATAAACGATCGCGTGAAATATTCTAGAGGTGACGTGAAGATCAGCGGAACTCTGAGCATGCGCAGTGATGCCGCCTCACATTTCAGTCAAACAGCGCCCTCTATTGCATGCAATTATAACCGTATACTAAAAACAGGAAAACACGAATGTTTAACATTTGCATTTATTTAACAATAAAACTAGCGTATTTTCACATTGTATTTATAATCTTTACTCGTTTGGATTAACAAATCAACTGGCTAGAAAAGACCATCCAAAATGTGCTCCGGCATGAAAGCAGCTCTTTTTTTGATCAAAACAACAGTAAAACACTTACATTACGTGAACAATGTAAACATGAAAAAAGCCTTCAATCCCATATATGACAATTAGAATTTGGAAGTTATCAAAACACACCCATCTCAGCAATGAGAAGTATGGCAAGCAAAAGAGGAGCAAGGGACAACTGAATTGAAGGGCCAGCGTTGCAGAAGTCTTCCTCGCAGCAGGTGGTCTTCAAGGTGTATAAGGTCTTCTTGGCAAGGAACTCTACAACTGTTGTCTTGTTGCATGCCTCCATGGGAAGACAACCCATCACCTTTATATCCAGGACAGAAGCTGAAATCAAACGGAAAGCATTCCAAAGTAACAAACAGAGATGGGGTTTGTAAAAGAGATCCCGAAAACTGAACTTTAACATCACATTTACCTGCTTTACCAATTCCCACATAACACAATTCATCATCACTGCAGTTTGTCTTGGTAGTGTAACACGCATCCCAGAATCCAAGCTCACACCGAAAACACTGAAGTGTTTGTCCTGTAAGCAAAGGGAAATTAAAGTGAATTATGTTCTAATTAATTACAATGGGACAAACAGATTTGCACGTATGGTCGCAATTTATGTTGTTAAAAGGTACAAATGCCATTAAAGCTATTAAACACTCATACTGCAGATACACGGGACTTAATCACATTGGTATGATCCTATTTAAAATGGAGTATGGAAATAAGTGGTTTACAAAATCCATTCACCATTGATTTGAAACAAAAGCATTTGTTACAATAGGCTACCATTCATTCGGACTAGACTTCTCAAATTCCAGGGAAATTATTCACTTACCCAAACAAAACAAAGACATCACCATCACAAACGCGGTAAAAATAGCTCCTCTCATGTTTAAGTGACTTTTAAAAGTAGATAAGCTCACAAATATGAAAGCAACACCTTGAGCTGGATATGGTCTTTACAAACGAATACTACCAAACAGACAGCTAGTCTACACAATCCTGCGTGACAATAGGGATTGTGTTGCATAACGCATGGTAAGGTGTGAGGAAGATAAAGGCATTATCTTATTAGCCATTTATAAGAAGCAGCTGTTTAGCACGTGTAACGCAAGAAAAAAACCTAAATGTATCACGTGCACGTTCAAACATATCCTTCTATCATAATTCAAGGCAAAAATTTTAATCAACTACTTAAGTTGTCAATATAATATAATCTACGTTACATTTACTTCATGACACCAAAAGACAACTAGTTAAAAGAGAGAATGATCAACAAATCAACCATTTTCCTGGAAGTAGCGTTTCATTTGTGAACGAATCGGTGTAATTAAATTAAAACGAATCTTTCAATCGAACAAATGATTCACGTTCACTTCCACGCTCTGGTCTCGCTTATTCGGAGCATACTGCTCCTAATAGTTCTGCCTTATAAAGTTTTAGTATGCTTTCTTTCTGAATCCAGTCTTAGGTCTTTCGGAGTTTTCAGAATTGGCTTTATCAGAATTAACTTTATTCGCCAAGTGTGTGCAAACACAAGGAATTTGTTCAGTGGTCGAATTGAGGGGGCGTCCCCTGGTTTTTCAATAAAACTATAATACTTAAAATGAAGTTTCGATTGCTGTATTAAATTTAGACCTGCTAATGTTTACATAATAGCCTACTTGAAAGACAGGCAGTTGCTGGAAATGGAGAAATTAATTACAGAAAACAGGTCATCATTTGTGTATTAGCTGTTTAAGATGGAGATGGCATGGGGGGAAACTGTTTTTATGCCTAGATGTTCTAGTGCACAGAGATCTAACGTCTGCCTGAGGGGAGAAGTCCAAACAGGTTGTGTCCGGGGTGCGAGGGGTTTGTGATGATGTTGCCTGCCCGTTTCTTCACTCTGGAGTTGTACAAGTCCTGAAGGTTGGGCAGGTACACACCAATTATCCTTTCAGCTGTCTTGACAGTCCGTTGCAGTCTTCTTAGCTATCTGATTTGCTGGCTGACCCAAACCAGACAGTTATAGAAGAGCACAGAACCGACTCTGAGTAAAACGGTGTCATCTGTGCCTGTGGCAGGTTAAACAGTTTGCCTTGTCCAAATACCTTGTGGTCTTGGCCACTTAATAATTAGATATTACATATAATTTGGTAGTAAAACAAAGAGTTGCACATTTTATCGGTGCAAATGAGTAGTGGCGATAATTATTTTGTACAACATTTTGCAACTGCTTTTTATCACTTAAGCACCACAAAATTAAATTGTGTCATCTGTTATAGGGACTACTGAACAGACATTTAGAAGTTGATTTTAAAATGCAAAGTATAAAGCTCTGTAAACACTTGCATTTTTACAATTATATAAGTGTGTCCCGAAAAGTTCTACACACACGTGTGGTCTTCATGCTCACTTGAACACTTGGACCAAGTACAGGAAATACGTCATATAAGTAGTCAAGTGGTCAAGTACAAAGACCGCAAGTGCGGGTATTTAGACAAAGCATTGGACAGGGCATTCCTCTGAGTCCGCACTTTCGTGACATAATGCCGCTTTGACTGCCGGGTAGAAGTCGGCTGCGTAGCTCTCAGGCTCAGCACATACTCAGCAGAAGTGCGCATCGAGGGCGCTCGCGAGCACCTGAAAGCTAAAATGACAAACAGGCCACTCTACGGTCATGGACTTAACGGACACGCGCACGCAGCGGCCATTGTAAGTCCTCAAGACCGAATGTGCACGTGAAGTGTGCCATTTAGGACAGTGCAGCCGACATCAATTTGCATGACGATGTAACCTTCACAAAGAGTCAGAGAATAAATCTTTTTGGTGAAATGATTCAAAAGATTCGAGTCACTTGAATGAATCTCCACCACTACCTGGAAGCAATCAAGGAAGCCATGTCGACTCGTGTCGACAGAGGGCGCCGGTTCTCGCTCTCCACTGGCACACGGAAGTAGCCGATGGGGGTGCTGAAAGTGCTGGTAATTTTATCCTCTTTGATGAGGGTTAACATCGCACCGCACCGTTCCTCTTGCCGTTTTCACGGGATCATGACCATTTTTAACAATGGAATAGTGACCCCTTGTTTGAGCTCGGACGACATTTGATTTAACCAATTTCCATTTGAATAACCCCGCTTCGGAAGAAAATGGATCAGGAGTTTGAGAACATCGATTCATCTGGACAGTGGCAAAACCTTTATAATGTAAGTCCTACTGTTTTTCTGAATGATTAAATATGAGCCGTTCTTAGGGTGAACGCCTGGGGCACCTGCTGCATTGTACCCTGATAGATTTGTAATGTTTATCTAATAGTCCTGTGCGAGGACTCGGGCCGTGAGAACGAATGGGTAATTCAACTTTTCGTTACAGCGCATGCGCGTAATACCGAGAAATACGGTCCACATGAATTTACTGCCTGCATCTGAAATTATCTTCCATTGTGAATCATTTCAGCTCGGTAAATCCGAACGTGAGTGGAAATGGTTTTACAATGATTTAGAACTCAATCGGTTTATTATGTTTAATTCTTGTCAACAAGCAAAACGAATAAAACCATACAGCGAATTCTCATGCGTTAAAATAACTTGTTTACTCTGAGTAAAGGCCAGCAATGTGAAGTGCGTGAGTGGTCATGTCACAGTGCGGTGCATTAGAGCAGCTTCCTGTGAACACATGGGCTGTCTCAATACCTTGTGAGCTGTCTACCTAGACGGCATTTCAAGACATCACGGTTCCATGTTAGTTTTTTTTTTTTTGGCACCATATGCGTTCTAAGTCCTATCACACTAAATGCCATCTGATTTCTGCCGCCTTTTAACCCCCCGGCGTGCACTTATGATACTCAAAAATGCCTTCAAGTTAGGGAGCTCGCTAGGTTTTGACACACAGCCATGCACTGATATGGTTTCTGAGAACTGACGAGCACTTCCCAAGAACTGAAGAACCGAAGCTGTCAGTTCTCTATAACTCAGCCAGATAGTCCTACATGTACAACCCCCCTTAGTTGCCTGGATATATTCTATGTTCTTTATTTATATTTTAATAACACTCCCTCCTTCTTTTGCCATTTTAAAAATATAAAGAAACGTTTACATACAGGTCTTACAGGTCATGTAATATATGAGTGTTTTTTTTTTAAGGGATGGCTTCTAAGGGTTTTCACACTGATGTTTGTTATTTTGTAATCCGTTTCTAGGAAATCCGTAACCAGTCTCAGGAGTGTCCCTACAAAGTGGCAAAGTTCCCAGAAAATCGCAATAGGAATAGATATAGAGACGTCAGTCCCTGTAAGTTTCTTCCATGTAAACCATTTTAACAATATTTCACTCATTTTGTAGCCTTGCCCTTAAAGGGACAGTTCACCAAAATTTGTATTATCATTTAGTCAGCATTGTGTTGTTCCACATCTGTATTACTTTTTGTTTGTGAACCCAAAAAGGAGACGTAATAGCCTCCGAATAACCGCCTCAGTCACCATTCACTTTTATTGGATGAAAGAAAAATGTAGTGAAAGTCAGTAGTGACCTAATGTGTTCCATGGAGGAAAGACAGCCACACAGAGTTGAATTACAATGATTTTTTTTTTCTTCAGTAAAGAGAACTTTTTTTATTTCTCCTGTAAGCTTAATCTTGATTTCAGATTCAGTTTAACACATGATGCCAAAATATTTGTTTCAACTTTTTGTGTTAAGATGATCACAGTCGGGTGAGATTAGAAAATTCAGAGAATGACTACATAAATGCGAGCCTAATTACCATGGAGGAGGCCCAGAGAAGGTACATATTGACACAGGTATGGCAGTAATGGAAAAAGTAAGTCCACTGTTTGCATTTAGCTGACTTACACTGATGTCTCATGTGGCCTAAATACTGTACACATTTACATGCGGTTCTTCTTATATGCAAACTAATTTGATTTACACGTTTTCCCCTGTTTTTATTGAATTTGTGTTTAGCATGTTGAAACCTTTTTAACATCCTTTACAGCCTTTTTGTAGAACAAAGAAGAATGTCTCATAGATTGTAATTTAATGTAACCTACATTAAGGTTACATTAAACATAACCTTCTTTTGCATTGACCAGCTTGTTTGTGCGTTCTCTAATGTAATTACAGATACTTTTCTCTTTCTGCAGGGCCCACTGAGGAACACTTGTGGTCACTTCTGGCAAATGATTTGGGAACAACGCTGCAAAGCAGTTATTATGCTTAACAGAGTTATAGAGAAAGGCTCGGTGAGTGAACACAAATGTTTGTTCTTAGTCTTGCTTTGTTTTTACATTTATGTAACATTTTCATTTAAAAGAAAGAAACAGTTTGTGGTCATATTCAGCAAGGATGCATTAAGTTGATCAAAACTGACAGTAACGGCTTTTGCTTTACACACACACACACGCGCGCACGCACACACACACACACACACACACACACAAAATGCATTCCAAATAAATCTTTCTATTCATCAAAGGATCCTGAAAAATTTTATATTTGTATTTTTTCATTGAATATTAAACAGCACAACTGTTTCCAACATTGATAATAAGGAACATTTCTTGAGCACCAAATCAGCATATTAGAATGATTTCTGAAGAGTGGAGTAATGGTTGCTGAAAATTCAGCTTTGCCATCACAGGAATAAAATGAATTTTAAAATGTATTAAAATATAAAACAGTTATTTTTTCACAGTTATATTTCACAATATTACTATGTTTAATTGTATAATAAATTCTGACCCCAAACTTTTGAATGGTAGTTCTTACGCATTACTATTTCAATTAACTGTCTTGAGATCTGCCCCACCCCCACCATTATTGTGTATTATGTTGATAAGTAGTCATATGGATTTGTTTGCTGCTTACTAGAAACAAAAAAACATTTTGAAATGCTTTCTGCTGTTTTTGTTCAATCTGAACAGGAGAAATGTGCACAGTATTGGCCATCAAAGGAGGAGCGAGACATGGGTTTTATTGACACTGGGTTTATGGTGACTCTGGTGTCTGAGGATGCCAAACCGAATTACAAAATCAGACTGTTAGAACTTAAAAATGGCAAGGTGAATGTAATGTTAAATTATTACATCATTAAATGCTTCTCTAAACAAGACATGAAAAATGAATGTTGTTTAAATTTTGTCCTGTATTTATAGACTGGAGAAACCAGAGAGATCTACCATTTTCATTACACAACGTGGCCTGATTTTGGTGTACCAGAGTCCCCAGCATCATTCCTCAACTTCCTTTTCAAGGTTCGAGAGTCTGGCTCATTGTGGCCAGAGAACGGACCTGCGGTGGTCCACTGCAGTGCAGGAATAGGAAGATCTGGGACTTTCTCATTGGTTGACACCTGCCTTGATTTGGTAAGACTGCAGTTGCAAAATATTGAATGATTCTAAAGGTTTTATAGCACATCATCATTTATCACATTCATTATGTATGTACATTATGTTATGTACATTCATTACTGTGGAACTGACAATTCAATGTTGTTTTGTTTTTGTAGATGGACAAGAGGAAAGACCCTTCGTCTGTGGACATACAAAAGGTTTTGTTAGATATGAGAGAGTATCGAATGGGCCTTATCCAAACCCCAGATCAGCTTCGATTTTCATATATGGCAGTCATGGAGGGAGCAAAGAGCATCCTTGGAGACTCAGCTCTACAGGTACCAAGCATGGTGTGATTGCATTATTACATTTGATTTTGAGTAGTATAGTAATAATCAGTGTTGCATTAAAAAAAAAAAGCTGTTCAAAATTATTTTTAACTCTTTCCCCGCCATTGACGAGTTATCTCGTCTTTTAGAAGAAAACGCTTCCCCGCCAAAGATGAGTTTTTACGGCTTTTCGTGTTTTCACTGTTATACACTCGGGGGCGCTATTTATAGAGAGAGAGGGAGAGAGAGAGCATTTGAACTGCCATTCTTTTTTATGTTAGATAAAGCATATAACAATTGATTTCTAAAGGATTATGTGACACTGACAATTCAGCTTTGCCATAACAGGAATATATATATATATATATAACAGTTATTTTAAATTGCAGTAATATTTCAATATGATGTTAGAGTACATCTTCATTTTTAGCTGTTTTGGCGTACTTTACTGCTTTTTTGTCTTATTCTACATTATCTTAAGTCATCTTGCAGTCCCCAGGTTGAGAATCACTGGTTTAAATGAACATGAAGGATAAAGTAGTTGTGCAATGTGTTATGTGTGTAATTTATGTAGTTTCCTGTAATCTAGCTCGAGTGTTTGCTCGCGTTCAGAAAGCTGACACGATCCTGTCTCTCTCCAGGCCTCTGACCAAACAGACATTTCTGCTGTAGAAATGCATAGAGCAGGTCCAGATTGGGTCTCGTGTCCAACTGTAGATCACGGTTCTTCTGTTTCCCGCTCAAGGACACGGTCACACCTTGTGCTCGCTGACGGGAACGGTTAGCACATGACTGTGTGACCTCTGCCAAAGGTCAATGCAAGCAGCATTAAAGAGCTGTCAGATGTGTGTGTGTACGAGCGCCGGGGGGTTGGTAGTGTGTGAATGTGTTGTTTTTCCACAGCACTTTCTGTGCTTGATTAGCTCTTATCAGTCAACAGCGCAGCACTCGTAATCTCTTCAGCGATGTCTCTCCTCCCACAGTGCTTGAAAACCTAATGGATTTATGAAAATAATTAGATCTCTCTCTGTAACAGCTGCTTGATTGAGACTTTGTGCTTGTTCTTTTGTGCCCGACTCTTCACTATAATGTTTTCGTTTAGAAAAAAAACGTCTTTTTTTTATAATCTTTAATCGAAATGCAACAAACTCCTTTTAGTCTTTTAGTTTATATAAAACATCTCCTGGAAGATCAGAAATGAGCACAGTCTTTAGCGTTTAGATGTGATGCGATCGTGAGGAAATGTTTGTCAGGTGTTTTGCAGTAGTAAACCCACAGTCACGCTCCTCTTGTAGCAGAAAATGGTTCACTTTGAGCCTCCTTCATTAAGTTTCTTCAAACGTTTGGCATCATTTACTGTTTTCCTTCTCATTACCGGGGCAGACGGGTCTGATCGTATACAGATAGTTTGACAACAGTTTTCCATTTTTGCCTCGCTAACGTTTTGCCTTGTTTCACCATGGATAAAGTGGTGTACTTGCCGTAGTTTATTGTAGTAAACCTGCTACTATATTTGCTCTACTCTTGCATACTTTGCCAGCATTCCGGCAATTCTATACTA